GGCGAGGCCGACCAGTCGCTGGCTTCTGGACAGCCTCTCACACTGGCTACTGGCCACTCACGCTGGCTGCTGGCTACACACGGTAGCCCATGGCAACCCACTGCAGCAGGGGCTGCAGCCTACGCCGTCGCCGGGGACTCATGGCAACCCAGCTCCAGGTTGAGCTGCCTTTCAGCATCTTAGCTGTAGAGGGCAGCGTCACTGGCCCTCATATGTGGGATCCGAACCGGGGCCCTCTAGCATCCCAAGCCAGTTCTTAACCATAGCACCACTTGGCTGGCCCTACAAGATATTTTTAAACTGTCAAAATGACACCGCTCTAAAAAATGCAACCAAGAGCAGATTTCAAAAAAATAGGAATTACACAAAGAAAAGAAGCAGGAATAACATACCGACCTAGCCAATGCCTCATTTGGATGTCCATATGCAGGTACTGTTAATGCTGATATCAGGGGGTTTATAATCCCTGTATGGTAATAATCATAGTAAAGGGATGAAATAGGCCAAATCCAGATTTTGTTTTCTAAATATGTGGTGCTTTTCTCCCTTGCCACTTTGTTTAAATGAATCATTTGAATAACTAACTTCGAAGCTCCTGTTGGCCAAGCAGATCCTTAAAGACTTTTTTTCTTTCTTGCCTTTCCCTGCACGTTAAAAAATACGGCGCTTTGGACGAATATCAACCTTAAAATGTATTAACCTACAGAAAAAAAACAAAAACGCTTAGACATTGGGGTGGAGGGGTGGGGGTGGGGGGTAGAGTGTGGATGTTAGGAGACGGTTCTTAAGGGAAAACAAGACGATCACGCTGGCTCAAGATTACACCAATCCTTATGACCTGGTGCAGATAAGCTTTTAAAAGGCTGAAAATCGCAACCTGTAAAGCGTTACGTGAACCAAAGAGGTGCCATACCTGCTTCAAACACCACGTGTGGCTCAAAGGACAGGCAATTTACGAAAGGACAGTTTGGCCCTGCTGCCTGTCTTTCGTTCGTACGGGGGGAGATCAGCAGCAGCAGCAGCCCGTGGAACAAACTCCCCCAACCCGGGGAGCGCGGCGGCTGCCCGGCGCGTGTGAGACTGCAACCGATTCTTGTGCAGTCGAAGCCGCCAGGGCAAAACTAAAATCTTTCAGGAACGTCTCTACTCTGGAGTTGTACGAAAGCACACACGGCGGGCGCCCTGAAGGGCGGACGCCCAGCTCGGCTGAAGCTTGCGAACTTGGGAGTCGTTCGATGCAACACATTTCAGACCACACCGCGACGATTCTCGGGGTCTGTTAAAATCAGCCCCCCGGGAGAGGTAACAGCCGTGAAGAGGAGGAGGAGGAGGAGGAGGCAAGGGCTGGAGCGGAGATCTCCGGGGTAATAGCCACGGCAGGGATCATAAGCGCTCTCGGAACCCCTCGGTCCTGTCAGGGGCCCAAGACCCAAGCGATCGCTGCTTTCAAAGACGGGGGGGGGGTCGACGGTGACCATTTTGGCCCCGAGACTGGACGGGTGGCAGTCGCCTCGCTGCAGCGGGAGGGAGGGAGCGGGAGGGGATGGAAGGGTGGGCGAGGTCAGGCGGGAGACTCAGCCGCGGCGGGGCGGGGCGGGGCGAGGCGGAGGGGCTCCCACCCCAGGCCGACCCCTCTCCGCCCGAGGCGGCGGCGGCGGCGGCCGGGTCGCGTCCCGGAGTCTGGACCGCTCCTCGCCGGGAAGAAGAAAGACCCGAGTCCGCGCGCACAAAGCGGCCGCCGTCCGGGCAGCGGCGGGAGGGCTGCGCCCAACTTCGGGG